GAGCTTGCAGATGATCAAGGAGCGACACGTGCAGGGATGGCTTGAAAAGGGTATGGCTGCTTTCTCTTCTGTTTATCAGGTGTCCCAGGCAATGTGGGCTGTGGTGTTAGTTCTTGAGAATTGGAACAACGCAGGTGCTGATGGTGGTCTTCTTTGGTAGGCAAAGAGGTGCCCGAAGCCCTGTCTTGTGTAGCCTGAGCACTCCTCGCTGAGTATGAAGCATGCTTTCCAGCAGTTCCCAAAACTGTGTTGAAGCTGAAATGCTGTGTCTGTTTTTTTGTGTTGGGGTTGCACCTTGGTGAGTGTAGGGATGGGTTTTAAGTGGATGCAGTGGAGGGCCTGGCCCCAGTGTCCTGTAGTGTGTTTTGACCCGTCAGCATAGCCTTTTGGTTCTCCGGTAGCCTACTTAAGTAAGTGATTTTTCCTGTGAGTGGAATGCAATTGATTTTTTTCTTTTTGGCGTGTAATCAGTTCTGCTCCTAGACTTTTCTTTCCACGTAAATAAAAGATACGAAGAAAAAGAAAAGGTACGTTGTTTTTGGGAAACCGTGGGGTAGGGTTCCTTGACCACGTAAGTGCAGTAGTGCCTAGAGAGTGATCAGGGTCACCTCCTTTATCTCTAGAAAGTAAGTCTGTTTGGGCACACTTCAGCGCGGTGCCACCTGGGCACATTTCTCAGGCGGAGCTACTGAGCAGGTGAGGTAAAGGAGCTGGGAACAGAGAGGTATTGCACAATGATATGTTGCCTTAGTAGTAGTGAACGTTGTGCAGGAGGTGGGTATTAGGGCTGGCATGCTGGTGAATGCTGGTTCTCTGTGTTTTCAGATGGGGATGAGTCTGTTTAAACTAATTCCAGTTCAAAAAGTTTCAGTTACTAGCTTGGTGATATTTTCAATTCAATATTAAAACCTGCAGAGAAAGCAAAAGGGGATTTTTGCTTCTAGAATCACCACAGATATCTTGTCTGCTCTCTGCATGCTTTTGAGATAAAGCTGATTTTAAAAAAGAAAGAAAAAAAAAACCATCTGCTTCTCTTGCTCTTTACCTACTCTCTTGTGCTTTGCCCCTCATCTTTCCCAGGTGATTTGGTTTGGGTTCTGGGCGGGGACAAAAGGTATATGAGCCCCAGGCACGACATCAGAGCTCCTTCTGCCTGGGCTGCTCTTTGGGGTCAGTGCTTTGTGTTTCCTTCAGTCAGTTGTAGGATTCTCTAGGCAGGCTGGAGTTTATGGAGTTCTAGATTTCTAAGTGCTTGAAATAGAGGGATATTTAGTAGAGGCTGCTGGCTCACTGGTTTTTGGGATGGTCACATATGCTCCTGTTTTTGAGCTGTATTTTAATCTCTACACGTATAAAAACACTTGTTTTAGTCCCCTGGAGAGTTTCACCAGCTTGATTACATGCTACATGTGGCTTGAGAGTGTAGATGCAGCATCACCAAGAGACTGAGCAGGGTTGTATCAGAGTCACCTTTTCATCTGCAAAGGGTAAGTCTGCGACTACCCCTGCCGAGGCTGCTGTGTGTGCGTGTCTTTTTGGCATTTGTGGAGCTCGGTTGTTTTTTTTTTGTGTGTATGTTTTAACTTTCTGTTTTTCTGAGCAGTAAATAGTGTGTGTGCTGAGCGTGGTTGGCAGGAGGAGGTGGGGAGCTGCTCAGGACTGGTAGGTTTGGTTTCTAGGAGTGTGCGGCATCCTTCCTGTGTGATGCGACTGATTGTTGGGTGGGAACGTTCCAGCTCATATGTCTTAAGCAATGTAGCTTGTGTAGTGTGTGTTGTGTGGCCCGGGTGCAGCTTGCTGTGGTGTTGTGAGTGAACAATCTCAGAGCTGGTGAGCAGCTGAAGTACCGGAGCTGGGAAGAGAGAGGTCTTGCAGCAGGTACGCTGTGGCTGTGAGGTGCCTCAGAGTGTGCATTTCTCTTGTCTCTGCAGGTGCTTTGTGCAGTTGTGGAGAGGGAAGGGAAATCTTCATGTCAGGAAGCTCTGAGGGAAGGTGAGTGGTGTCAGCCATGTCATGCCTTATCCGAAGCAAAGGGAAGACGCTCAGGAGTTTCCCTGTGAGGGTCCGAGGTGAGGCTGATTGGGATAGAGGAGCAGCATGGCAGGTGGGTTCTTGCAAGCACCGCGGTCATTGTATCCTTTTGTGTTCCCAGGTGGCGTGGGTGATGCTGGCCGCTCCTTTCAAGCTTGGACCTAATTTTCAGGTACAGAGGCAAGTGGCCTGCTGGTTTGAAAGGATAAAAGTAAAGATGGGGTTGCTTATGTTGTTGAGGGATGGGTGCTACTGCTGGCAGCTGAATGTTTATCTTCTGCCTGTGTCTTTCCCTTGTTCAGGCTGAAATGCATTGTGCAGTTCGCAGTGCAGGACGTCTCGACCCAAGCTGCCTCTGCAGTGACTCTGGTGCGTGATGAGCAGAGGTAACTGTTGTTTTGGGGGTGTGGTTGTCACTGCAGTTATTTTCCTACATCCAATAGAGTAAAACTCCAGTTTGCCTTTTAGAGGTGCTATAAGTGGGTAAGGAGAAGAGATGGAAGCATGTGCCACGTGGGGCAGGCAAGCGGCTGAGGTACAGGAGGGGATGAGAGTACGTGATTTTTTTCTGGGGATGGAATGGAATTGATTTTGTTGGTGTATAATCTGTTCTGCTCTTGGATTTTTCTTTCTAAGTTTAAAAAAAATAATAAAATTTGAGCTAATTCCAGTTAAGAAAGTTTCAGTTACTTGCTGGGTTGTATTGTCCTTTTAATATTCAAAGCTTCAGCGAAAGCATGGGGATTGTTGCTTTTAGAAACACCTCAGGTCTCGTCTGCACTCTGCATTCTGTTGAGCTAAAGCAGATCCCCCCCAAAAGAAACAAACAGGTAAACAAAAAAAAAAAACACAAACACACACACACAAATGAAGAACAAAATAAAACACCATTGGTAGACTTGTTGTGAATGCAACGAACATTTAATCCCTTTGTTTTCCCAGGTGGTGTGGATGATACTGGCTGCACTGTTGGAGCTTGGATTCGGAGAGGAAGAGGTGAGCAGAACTGTATGTTGCATCAGCAGTAGTCAGCATCGTGGAGAAGGTGGGCATCGTGGCCGGCGTGCTAGTGAATGCTGGTACTCTGTTTTTGCAGCTGATGATGAGCCTGGCAATTGACTAAGATGACAAACGGTGCCTGTGTATTTCTTGAGGCAGAGGGACTTTACCATGCAGCAACCTGAGAGCTAAGTTGGGGGGCACCTGGTATTTGCATATCTGGGGTGGCTAATGGGAGCTGGGAGGCAGAGCAGCATGGAGCCAGCTGGCTGAATAGACTTGGTGCCACTGTGAGGGTGGTTGAGGCTGGGTCACGTTCAGGCTGCTTGTGGCTGGGTCACCAGGCTAATAGGAGCAGCGGGATTATTTTGTAGCGTGAGTGCGTGCGCCAGGCAGGACAGTTTCCGTCTGTTCGTCTGTCCTGTAGTGTTGCTTCTGCATTGTCTGTTCTGTGCTTCTCGGGTCTTGATATCCTCCTGGCTTTTTAGACTGAACTGACCAGACAGGCGACTTGGTAGCTGTGCTGAAGGGCCTCAATGCTTGTTTTGTCATCATGGCTCTGATCAAGCAGCGACTGCAAGACAAGAAGTGCTCGAAAGTGCAGATCTGTTTCAGGTCTTGTGCATCATATTCGGTTTGAGATCGCGTCTGTTTCCATCCTCACTCTTGCGGAAGTCATCTGGGCCACATCAGGAGCTCTTGCTTGGCAATCGAATTCCTAAGTGTCTTCTTAGGGGGTTTTCAGTCCCCATCCTTCCGGTCTCTTGTCTTGAAGGCAGGCTTTTTAGGCCTCCATCATCCCAGTTCTGGCAGTTGCTTCCAGTTGCGTGTTGTGACATTTGAGTCTCTGGTAGGGTCTGGTGCAGAGCACCTGTTCTGACTTGCTGTTGCCGTAGGGCGTTCTTTTTAGGGGTCACTTTTTCTTGCGCCTAGTGTTGTGTGTTTTGTTTGTAGTGTTTGTGGCGTGCCTGTGTGTGTACGTGTTTGGTCTGGAGGTATCCTGCCTGGCAGTTAGTGATTAATGTGGCAGTGCATGGGTGTACTAATACATCGTCTGGACTGTGTAGGCAAAGACATCCGGTCTGCCTCTGGGCACGTACTGAAGGGCAGCTGGCACAGTCATCTCTGTGGTGGTTGGCAGATGGGGATTTGGGAGAGTATATTTGCTTGTGAGCAGCTGTTTGCGTAGTGCTTGAACGGTGTGCTTGAGGTGGTCTGTCGAATCTTGAAAGCTTACAGATACGGGGTTTTGAAATGTTTATTTTTATTTCTTTCCTGTCCCCATTAGAGTTTAAACCCTTGGAGGAACCTGTCACAGGAAAGAGCTCCTTCTGGAACTGTTCATCACTCGGTAGGCAACTGGGTGACTGGCCTGATCTACTTCTGAGGTGCTGATGCAAGGGGGCTGCTGTTTTGAAATTATAAAGTTGTAAACGGGGTCTGTTGTGTTGTGGAGGGATGGGTGCTAATGCTGACAGCTGAATGATTATCTTGTTTATGTTTTAAATTTTTAAGTCTGAAACACAGTGTACAACACGGGACTTGACGACCGGAGCTGCTTTTGGCAAGGTGAGCGATGCGCAGTTGTAGCAGGTACTTTAGGGGTGCTGTTGTCACTGCAGTTAGTTAACTTCATAAAGTGCAGTAAAAACCCTGTTTATATTTCAGGGGTGTTGTAGGTGGCCTAAGAGAGCAGATGGAAGCATCTTCCTTGAGGGCGGGTGAGGGGGCCGAGGTGAGGGAGCAGCTGAGAGTAACTGTCCCAGCTGTGCTGTGGCTTTGGATGCTGCTTCAGCCTATGCTTTTCTTTTTGTTTCACATTTGTCTCACACAGGCTGAGTGGGGCCAAGCTGCACTCTGAAGAGCAGCACGAGAAGGGCGGGCTGGTTGTGAGCTGGACTGGAGCAGAACTGCCAAGTAGCACGAGGTGAGTGCGAAGGGTATCCATCTTGCTTTGCAGGTGCCATGGCAGGCTCTCCACAGAAGTGGTTGAGGATTTGAGAAGAGCTTGCAGATGATCAAGGAGCGACACGTGCAGGGATGGCTTGAAAAGGGTATGGCTGCTTTCTCTTCTGTTTATCAGGTGTCCCAGGCAATGTGGGCTGTGGTGTTAGTTCTTGAGAATTGGAACAACGCAGGTGCTGATGGTGGTCTTCTTTGGTAGGCAAAGAGGTGCCCGAAGCCCTGTCTTGTGTACCCTGAGCACTCCTTGCTGAGTATGAAGCATGCTTTCCAGCAGTTCCCAAAACTGTGTTGAAGCTGAAATGCTGCGTCTGTTTTTTCTGTGTTGGGGTTGCACCTTGGTGAGTGTAGGGATGGTTTTTAAGTGGATGCAGTGGAGGGCCTGGCCCCAGTGTCCTGTAGTGTGTTTTGACCCGTCAGCATAGCCTTTTGGTTCTCCGGTAGCCTACTTAAGTAAGTGATTTTTCCTGTGAGTGGAATGCAATTGATTTTTTTCTTTTTGGCGTGTAATCAGTTCTGCTCCTAGACTTTTCTTTCCACGTAAATAAAAGATACGAAGAAAAAGAAAAGGTACGTTGTTTTTGGGAAACCGTGGGGTAGGGTTCCTTGACCACGTAAGTGCAGTAGTGCCTAGAGAGTGATCAGGGTCACCTCCTTTATCTCTAGAAAGTAAGTCTGTTTGGGCACACTTCAGCGCGGTGCCACCTGGGCACATTTCTCAGGCGGAGCTACTGAGCAGGTGAGGTAAAGGAGCTGGGAACAGAGAGGTATTGCACAATGATATGTTGCCTTAGTAGTAGTGAACGTTGTGCAGGAGGTGGGTATTAGGGCTGGCATGCTGGTGAATGCTGGTTCTCTGTGTTTTCAGATGGGGATGAGTCTGTTTAAACTAATTCCAGTTCAAAAAGTTTCAGTTACTAGCTTGGTGATATTTTCAATTCAATATTAAAACCTGCAGAGAAAGCAAAAGGGGATTTTTGCTTCTAGAATCACCACAGATATCTTGTCTGCTCTCTGCATGCTTTTGAGATAAAGCTGATTTTAAAAAAGAAAGAAAAAAAAAACCATCTGCTTCTCTTGCTCTTTACCTACTCTCTTGTGCTTTGCCCCTCATCTTTCCCAGGTGATTTGGTTTGGGTTCTGGGCGGGGACAAAAGGTATATGAGCCCCAGGCACGACATCAGAGCTCCTTCTGCCTGGGCTGCTCTTTGGGGTCAGTGCTTTGTGTTTCCTTCAGTCAGTTGTAGGATTCTCTAGGCAGGCTGGAGTTTATGGAGTTCTAGATTTCTAAGTGCTTGAAATAGAGGGATATTTAGTAGAGGCTGCTGGCTCACTGGTTTTTGGGATGGTCACATATGCTCCTGTTTTTGAGCTGTATTTTAATCTCTACACGTATAAAAACACTTGTTTTAGTCCCCTGGAGAGTTTCACCAGCTTGATTACATGCTACATGTGGCTTGAGAGTGTAGATGCAGCATCACCAAGAGACTGAGCAGGGTTGTATCAGAGTCACCTTTTCATCTGCAAAGGGTAAGTCTGCGACTACCCCTGCCGAGGCTGCTGTGTGTGCGTGTCTTTTTGGCATTTGTGGAGCTCGGTTGTTTTTTTTTTGTGTGTATGTTTTAACTTTCTGTTTTTCTGAGCAGTAAATAGTGTGTGTGCTGAGCGTGGTTGGCAGGAGGAGGTGGGGAGCTGCTCAGGACTGGTAGGTTTGGTTTCTAGGAGTGTGCGGCATCCTTCCTGTGTGATGCGACTGATTGTTGGGTGGGAACGTTCCAGCTCATATGTCTTAAGCAATGTAGCTTGTGTAGTGTGTGTTGTGTGGCCCGGGTGCAGCTTGCTGTGGTGTTGTGAGTGAACAATCTCAGAGCTGGTGAGCAGCTGAAGTACCGGAGCTGGGAAGAGAGAGGTCTTGCAGCAGGTACGCTGTGGCTGTGAGGTGCCTCAGAGTGTGCATTTCTCTTGTCTCTGCAGGTGCTTTGTGCAGTTGTGGAGAGGGAAGGGAAATCTTCATGTCAGGAAGCTCTGAGGGAAGGTGAGTGGTGTCAGCCATGTCATGCCTTATCCGAAGCAAAGGGAAGACGCTCAGGAGTTTCCCTGTGAGGGTCCGAGGTGAGGCTGATTGGGATAGAGGAGCAGCATGGCAGGTGGGTTCTTGCAAGCACCGCGGTCATTGTATCCTTTTGTGTTCCCAGGTGGCGTGGGTGATGCTGGCCGCTCCTTTCAAGCTTGGACCTAATTTTCAGGTACAGAGGCAAGTGGCCTGCTGGTTTGAAAGGATAAAAGTAAAGATGGGGTTGCTTATGTTGTTGAGGGATGGGTGCTACTGCTGGCAGCTGAATGTTTATCTTCTGCCTGTGTCTTTCCCTTGTTCAGGCTGAAATGCATTGTGCAGTTCGCAGTGCAGGACGTCTCGACCCAAGCTGCCTCTGCAGTGACTCTGGTGCGTGATGAGCAGAGGTAACTGTTGTTTTGGGGGTGTGGTTGTCACTGCAGTTATTTTCCTACATCCAATAGAGTAAAACTCCAGTTTGCCTTTTAGAGGTGCTATAAGTGGGTAAGGAGAAGAGATGGAAGCATGTGCCACGTGGGGCAGGCAAGCGGCTGAGGTACAGGAGGGGATGAGAGTATGTGATTTTTTTCTGGGGATGGAATGGAATTGATTTTGTTGGTGTATAATCTGTTCTGCTCTTGGATTTTTCTTTCTAAGTTTAAAAAAAATAATAAAATTTGAGCTAATTCCAGTTAAGAAAGTTTCAGTTACTTGCTGGGTTGTATTGTCCTTTTAATATTCAAAGCTTCAGCGAAAGCATGGGGATTGTTGCTTTTAGAAACACCTCAGGTCTCGTCTGCACTCTGCATTCTGTTGAGCTAAAGCAGATCCCCCCCAAAAGAAACAAACAGGTAAACAAAAAAAAAAAACACAAACACACACACACAAATGAAGAACAAAATAAAACACCATTGGTAGACTTGTTGTGAATGCAACGAACATTTAATCCCTTTGTTTTCCCAGGTGGTGTGGATGATACTGGCTGCACTGTTGGAGCTTGGATTCGGAGAGGAAGAGGTGAGCAGAACTGTATGTTGCATCAGCAGTAGTCAGCATCGTGGAGAAGGTGGGCATCGTGGCCGGCGTGCTAGTGAATGCTGGTACTCTGTTTTTGCAGCTGATGATGAGCCTGGCAATTGACTAAGATGACAAACGGTGCCTGTGTATTTCTTGAGGCAGAGGGACTTTACCATGCAGCAACCTGAGAGCTAAGTTGGGGGGCACCTGGTATTTGCATATCTGGGGTGGCTAATGGGAGCTGGGAGGCAGAGCAGCATGGAGCCAGCTGGCTGAATAGACTTGGTGCCACTGTGAGGGTGGTTGAGGCTGGGTCACGTTCAGGCTGCTTGTGGCTGGGTCACCAGGCTAATAGAAGAGGCAGGATTATTTTGTAGCGTGAGTGTGTGCGCCAGGCAGGACAGTTTCCTTCAGTTCGTCTGTCTTGTAGTGTTGTATCTGCAGTGTCTGTTCTGTGCTTCTCGGGTCTTGATATCCTCCTGGCTTTTTAGACTGAACTGACCAGACAGGCGACTTGGTAGCTGTGCTGAAGGGCCTCAATGCTTGTTTTGTCATCATGGCTCTGATCCGAGCACTTCTTGTGTTGCAGTCGCTGCTTAAAGAGCAGGCCTGTTTCAGGTCTTGTGCATCATACTCGGTTTGAGATCGCGTCTGTTTCCATCCTCACTCTTGCGGAAGTCATCTGGGCCGCATCAGGAGCTCTTGCTTGGCAATTGATTTCCTAAGTGTCTTCTTAGGGGGTTTTCAGTCCCCATCCCTCTGGTCTCTTGTCTTGAAGGCAGGCTTTTTAGGCCTCCATCATCCCAGTTCTGGCAGTTGCTTCCAGTTGCGTGTCGTGACATTTGAGTCTCTCGTAGGGTCTGGTGCAGAGCGCCTGTATCTGACTTGCTGTTGCCATAGGGCTTTCCCCTGGGGGTCACTTTTTCTTGCGCCTTGTGTTTTGTTTGTAGTGTTTGTGGCGTGCCTGTGTGTGTACGTGTTTGGTCTGGAGCTGTCCTGCCTGGCAGTTAGTGATTAATGTGGCAGTGCATGGGTGTACTAATACATTGATGGGACTGTGTTGGCGAAGACATCCGGTCTGCCTCTGGGCACGTACTGAAGGGCAGCTGGCACAGTCATCTCTGTAGTGTTTGGCATATGTGGGGAGGGGGAGAGTTGAGCTGCTTGTGAGCAACTTCTCACATAGTGCTTGAATGGTGTGCTTGAGGAGGTCTGTTGAATCTTGAAAGCTTACAGATATGGGGTTTTGAATTTTTTATTTTTATTTCTTTCCTGTCCCCATTAGAGTGTAAACCCTAGTGTGGAGGAATGGTTAAGTGAAGTAGGTCATGTGAATGCTGAGCAACTTGGAGGTCGCGAGCTAAAAAAGTATCGAACGCAGCTCATACGAGTCTGGGAGATGGTGGGAAGCCAATCAAGGGACAAAGGCATTGTGTCAGCGTGTGGATGGGAAAGTACCGAAGGCGGGATAATGGTTGAGGGAATGAGGAGCTAGCTGATAAGATAGGGAAAGTTGCACTAACCAATAGTGAGCTTAGCTTTTGCAATACGTATGAGCTAATTATATTGAATCATATAAAAAACGGCTGAGCTATCCAATAGATTGAAGTTGACTGATCACTCATATTGAGCGTCTGTGTCTTCCTTCCGCCGGCAACAAATGGCGCCCGAGCAGGGACCTGGCTGGGTCTGAAGCTGCGAGACACAGTTGGACGGAATAAGGGAAGCTGGTCCTGCAACGCACCCCAGGAGGTGGAAGGGACAAGAATCCCCACACCCGCGCCGGGAAGGTGAAAGGGACGTGGAGTCCCCGCACCCGGGATAGGATCCCGCCAGTCGCGCGTCGCCGAGGTCTGCAGCTCGGAAGGTGGAAGGGAGTCCCCGCACCCGGGATGAGCCTATATAGGGTCCCGCCGGAAAAGCGCCGCCGAGGTCTTTGCAAAGGCTGCAACGGTACCGACGTAACTAAAGGTATGGAAAGACAAGCGGCGTATGATTTGCTCAAATGCTTTTCAGAAAAGCGGAGCACGCAGGGTATAGACTGCAAAAAGGAGTCGCGGAGAGACGCGGGAAGTTGAAGTAATCACAGTGAATTGAAGTAATCACGGTGCGATGCGGGACATCCGAGATCGAGTTGCTACGGGAGACCAGAGGCGTCACTGGACAACGGCAGCCGACCCTCAGCGTGTGGCGAGTCAGCACAGAGCAGAGGGACGGACATCAGGACCCTGCAGCCTGTGTGACGGAACCATGGAGGCAGCGGCGGCTGTGCTGCTTCTCTCTGGCATTCTTTTTATAAAAGGTTTACCTTGCAATGCAAAAGGGATACTAACTGCAGTGTTAATAATTGTATGTGTTATTCTTAAATGTCCAGGTATTTTGTGTTGAAAGTATTTGTGTAAGGGTAAGGTTTTAAAACAAAGTGTTGCAAGTCACTTCACGAGGAACACAATGAGAGACAATACTTTTTTGTTTGCTTATCATTCTAAATTATATTCTTGTGAATGAGATGGTGGTATGATTGAGATTGAGATGTGCCAGAGGCCTCTGGGTGTACGATTGTGCTCTGGGTGTGTGAGCGTGCTGTGTACTGTGTTAGTAAGAGCGCGCTTATTGCCATAGTGCAGGCTGAAATCATAGGAAATTAGTGCCAGCAAAAAATCACAGGAAAATGAAGGACGAAGTAGCCCTAGATTTATTACAGTGCTGTTTAGGAAAACGGGGAGTCGATTGAAAGCAACTAGCAGGACTAGTTGCAATCGGTCAAGGAAAATCATGTTTCACAAGTACGGAGTCATTGTTTGAAGTAGCCACTTGGAGAAATTTAAGGGAATGTACTGTTTAAAACGTTTTGATCATAATGAGTCAATTCACAAATCCATTGTACCTGCCAGTGCTTTTGGAGGACCGTGTTACCTAAGACGACTCACACTTTTCGCTCTAGATTTGCACTCGTGGCAAAACTCGACAAGGAACAGAAGAATTAAATGAGAATTAAAAACTTTGGGTTCTGACTGTAACGATAATGTAGAATTGTGGGGTCTAGCAGAAAGATTCTTTGCTTCTTTGGTGCCTGGTGTGGGAACTGCACACGCTTTGACTAACATTAATAGGCTTGCATGTTGGGCTGTTAAACAATCAAATGTAACACAAATTCTTTCTGAAATGTCACAAGATATGGAGAGTCTAAGACATGCTGTGTTACAAGATAGAGTCGCAACTAGCTCAAGGACATGGGTGTGAAGATGTAGAAGGAATGTGTTGCTTTAATCTCTCCGATCGTGGTCAGTCGCTTCATGACCAATTGAAATGGCTAAAGGATCATACACAAAAAATCACAATACAGAATAATTGGTTTGATGATTGGCTTAAATCTATCATTGGGAATATGGGAGGATGGGCTTTTAACCTAATCAAAGAGGGACTTCGCCTTTTGCTCATAATTATATTGATTCTAATTGCTGCGCGGGTAATTTTTAGCTGCTTAACTAGGAAGCTTGAGCAACTCACAGAGAAGGCGTTTGTAGCCCAAAATAAAAACGGGGGAATTGTGGAGGAATGGTTAAGTGAAGTAGGTCATGTGAATGTTGAGCAACTTGGAGGTCGCGAGCTAAAAAAGTATCGAACGCAGCTCATATGAGTCTGGGAGATGGCGGGAAGCCAATCAATGGACAAAGGCATTGTGTCAGTGTGTGGATGGGAAAGTACCTAAGGTGGGATAATGGTTGAGGGAATGAGGAGCTAGCTGATAAGATAGGGAAAGTTGCACTAACCAATAGTGAGCTTAGCTTTTGCAATACGTATGAGCTAATTATATTGAATCATATAAAAAACGGCTGAGCTATCCAATAAATCGAAGTTCACTGATCGCTCATATTGAGCGTCTGTATCTTCCTTCCGTCGACAACACACTAGGACGAACCTGTCACAGGAAAGAGCTCCTTCTGGAACTGTTCAGCACTCGGTAGGCAACTGGGTGACTGGCTTGATCTACTTCTGAGGTGCTGAGGCAAGGGGGCTGCTGTTTTGAAATGATAACGTTGTAAATGGGGTCTGTTGTGTTGTTGAGGGATGGGTGCTAATGCTGACAGCTGAATGATTCTCTTGTGACTGTTTTCATTTGTTAAAGCTGAAATACAGTGTACAACACGGGACTTGAGGACCAGAGCTGCTTTCGGCAAGGTGAGCGATGAGCAGTTGTAGCAGTTACTTTAGGGGTGCAGTTGTCACTGCAGTTACTTAACTACAAAAGTACAGTAAAAATCCTGTTTATATTTCAGGGGTGTTGTAGGTGGCCTAAGAGAGCAGATGGAAGCGTCTGCCTCGAGGGGAGGGGAGGGCACGGAGGTAAGGCAGCAGCTGAGAGTAACTGTCCCAGCTGTGCCGTGTCTTTGGATGCTGCTTCAGCCTATGCTTTTCTTTTTGTTTCACATTTGTCTCACACAGGCTGAGTGGGGCCAAGCTGCACTCTGAAGAGCAGCACGAGAAGGGCGGGCTGGTTGTGAGCTGGATTGGAGCAGAACTGCCAAGTAGCACGAGGTGAGTGCGAAGGGTATCCATCTTGCTTTGCAGGTGCCATGGCAGGCTCTCCACAGAAGCGGTTGAGGATTTGAGAAGAGGTTGCAGATGATCAAGGAGCGACACGTGCAGGGATGGCTTGAAAAGGGTATGGCTGCTTTCTCTTCTGGTCCCAGGCAATGTGGGCTGTGGTGTTAGCTCTTGAGAATTGGAACAAAGCAGGTGCTGATGGCGGTCTTCTTTGGTAAGCAAAGAGGTGCCTGAAGCCCTGTCCTGTGTAGCCTGAGCACAACTTGCTGAGGATGAAGCTTGCTTTCCAGCAGTTCCCAAAGCTGTTGAAGCTGTAATGCTGTGTCCTGTTTTTTTTTTTTGTGTTGGGGTTGTACCTTGGTGAGTGTAGGGACGGGTTTTAAGCGGGTGCAGTGGAGGGCCTGGCCCCAGTGTTCTGTAGTGTGTTTTGACCCACCAGCATAGCCATTTGGTTCTCAGATAGCCTACTGAAGTAAGTGATTTTTCCTGTGAGTGGAATGGAATTGAATTATTTTTTGGCGTGTAATCTGTTCTGCTCCTAGATTGTTCTTTCTATGTAAATGAAAGATTAAAGTAATTCCAGATGGAAAAAGAAATAAGTTGCTTACTTGGTTGTATTGTCCATTTAATATTAAAAGCTGCAGCAAAAGCATGGGGATTTTTGTTTCTAGAAACACCCTAGTTCTCCTGTCTGCACTCTGCATGCTGTTGAGCTAAGCCTTATAAATAAGTAAATAAACCACAGCTGCTGCTCCTCCTCTTTTCTGCTTTTTTTTTTTTGTGCTTTACCCCTGCACTTTCCCAGGTGATTGGCTTCAGGTTCCATGTAGGAGGTACTGCTAAATGAGTTGAAGGTATGCCATGAGAGAGCTCCTTCTGCCTGGGCTGCACTTTTGGGTAAGTGCTTTGTTTTTCGTTCAGTTGTTTGGAGGGTTCTTTAGGTGTGTCAGAGTCTATGGACTGATGCGTTTTTAAGTAGAAACCAGTACTCCTATCTTTCTGAGGTGGCAACTGGTAGGATCTGTCACTGTAAAGCAATCTAGTAGTAGGTACCTGTATTGGTACCGGGCCCATTTCGGCGCGGCGCCGCCCGGGCCCATTTCTCAGGTAAGTGTAGTGAGCAGCTGAGGTAAAGGAGCTGGGAACAGAGAGGTATTGCACAGTAGCATGTTGCATCAGTAGTAGTCAGCGGTGCGGAGGAGGTGGGTGTCAGGGCTGGTGTGCTAGTGAATGCTGGTTCTCTGTTTCTGCAAGTGATGATGAACCTGTTTAACGTAATTCCATTTGAAAAAGTTCCAGTTACTGGCCTGGTCGTGTCGTCCTTTCAATGTTAAAAGCTGCAGCAAAAGCATGGGGATTGTTGCTTCTAGAAACACCCCAGTTTTCTTGTCTGCAGTCTGCATGTTTTTCCAGTAAAGCAGATCTTAAAAAAAAAAAAAAAACAAAGAAAATAATAAAAAACAGCTGCTGCTGCTCCTGCTTTCTTTCTACTTCCTTGTGCTTTGCCCCTCCCCTTTTCCAGGTGATTGGGTTTGGGTTCTGGGTGGGGCCAAATGGTATATGAACCCCAGGCATGGCATCAGAGAGCTCCTTCTGCCTGGGCTGCTCCTTGGGGTAAGTGCTTTGTTTTTCCTTCAGTCAGTTGCAGGGTTCTCTAGGCAGGCTGGAGTCTATAGATTGCTAGAATTTTTAAGTGCTTGGAATTCACTTAATAGAGGGATGTGTAGTAGAGGTTTGTGGCTTATTGTTTTTTAGGATGGTGGGACACTCCTCTGTTTTTGAGCTGCACTTTAATCTCTAGATGTATAAACCCACTTCTGTAATTCTGCAGAGGACTAAAACCAGCTTGATTGCATGGTACCTGTGGCTTGACAGCGTAGATGCAGCATTACCAAGAGACTGAGCAGAGTTGTATCAGAGTCACCTTTTTTATCTGCAAAGGGTAAGTCTGTGATTATCCCTGCCAGGGCTGCTGTGTGTGCATGTCTTTTTGGCACTAGTGGTGCTCAGTTGTTTTTTTTGTGTGTACGTTTTAAGTTTCTGTTTTTCTGAGCAGTAAATAGTGTGTTTGCTGAGTGTGGTTAGAAGGAGGAGGTCGGGAGCTGCTCAGGACTGGTAGGTTTGGTTTCTAGGAGTGTGCGGCATCCTTCCTGTGCGATGCGACTGATTGTTGGGTGGGAACATTCCAGCTCATATGTCTTAAGCAATGTAGCTTGTGTAGTGTGTGTTGTGTGGCCTGGGCAGAGTTTGCTGCGGTGCTGTGAGTGAAGAATCTGAGTTAGAGCTGGTGAGCAGCTGAAGTACCGGAGCTGGGAAGAGAGAGGCATTGCAGCAGGTACGCTGTGGCTGTGAGGTGCCTCAGAGTGTGCGTTTCTCTTGTCTCTGCAGGTGCTTTGTGCAGTTGTGGAGAGGGAAGGGAAATCTTCATGTCAGGAAGCTCTGAGGGAAGGTGAGTGGTGTCAGCCATGTCATGCCTTATCCGAAGCAAAGGGAAGACGCTCAGGTGTTTCCCTGTGAGGGTCTGAGGTGAGGCTGATTGGGATAGAGGAGCAGCGTGGCAGGTGGGTGCTTGCAAGCACAGTGTTCATTGTATCCTTTTGTGTTCCCAGGTGGCGTAGGTGATGCTGGCCACTCCTTTCAAACTTGGACCTAATTTTCAGGTACAGAGGCAAGTGGCCTGCTGGTTTGAAAGGATAAAAGTAAAGACGGGGTTGCTTATGTTGTTGAGCGATGGGTGCTGGCAGCTGAATGTTTATCTTCTGCCTGTGTCTTTCCTTTGTTCAGGTTGAAATGCAGTGCGCAGTGCAGGACCTCTTGACCCGAGCTGCCTCTGCAGTGACTCTGGTGCGTGATGAGCAGAGGTAACTGTTGTTTTTGGGGTGTGGTTGTCACTGCAGGTATTTTCCTACATCCAATAGCGTAAAATTCCAGTTTGCCTTTTAGAGGTGCTATAAGTGGCTAAAGAGAACAGACAGAAGCATGTGCCACGTGGGGCAGGCCAGCGGCTGAGGTACAGGAGGGGATGAGAGTATGTGATTTTTTTCTGGGGATGGAATAGAATTATTTTTGTTGGTGTATAATCTGTTCTCCTCCTGGATTTTTCTTTCAATGTAAAGAAAAGTTTGAGCAATTCCAGTTAAGAAAGTTCCAGTTACTTGCTGGGTCGTGTTGTCCTTTCAATGTTAAAATCTGCAGCAAAAGCATGGGGATTGTTGCTTCTAGAAACACCCCAGTTTTCTTGTTTGCGCTCTGCATGCTGTTGAGCTAAGGCAGATTTAAAAAAAAATACAGGAAACACACACAAAAACAACAACAACAACAACAAAAAACACCATTGGCTGACTTGTTGTAAACGCAACGATCATTTAATCCCTTTATTTTCCCAGGTGGTGTGGATGATACTGGCTGCACTGTTGGAGCTTGGACTCGGAGAGGAACATGTGAGCACAATCGTATGTTGCCTCAGTAGTAGTCAGCATTGTGGAGAAGGTGAGCAATAGGGCTGGCATCCTAGTGAATGCTGTCACTCTGTTTTTGCAGCTGATGATGAGCCTGGCAATTGACTAAGCTGACAATCGGTGCCTGTGCATTTCTTGAGGCGGTGGGACTTTGCCATCCAGCAACTTGAGAGCTAAGTTGGGGGGCACCTGGTATTTGCATATCTGGGGTGGCCAATGGGAGCTGGGAGGCAGAGCAGCATGGAGCCAGCTGGCTGAATAGACTTGGAGCCACTGTGAGGGTGGTTCAGGCTGGGTCACCAGGCTAATAGAAGCAGCGGGATTATTTTGTAGCGTGAGTGCGTGCGCCAGGCAGGACAGTTTCCTTCAGTTCGTCTGTCTTGTAGTGTTGCTTCTGCATTGTCTGTTCTGTGCTTCTCGGGTCTTGATATCCTCCTAATTTTTTACACCGGACTGACTAGACTGGCGACTCGGTAGCTGTGCTGAAGGGCCTCAATGCTTGTTTTGTCATCATGACTCTGATCCGAGCACTTCTTGTCTTGCAGTCGCTGCTTGAAGTGGGGATCTGTTTGAGGTCTTTTGCATCATACTCGGTTTGAGAACACGTCTGCTTCCATCCTCACTCTTGCAGAAGTTATCTGGGCCGCATCAGGAGCTCTTGCCTGGGAATTGATTTCCTAAGTGTCTTCTTAGGGGGTTTTCAGTCCCCATCCCTCTGGTCTCTTGTCTTGAAGGCAGGCTTTTTAGGCCTCCACCATCCCAGTTCTGGCAGTTGCTTCCAGTCGCGTGTGGTGACATTTGAGTCTCTCGTAGGGTCTGGTGCAGAGCGCCTGTATCTGACTTGCTGTTGCCGTAGGGCTTCTCTTTTAGGGGTTACTTTCTCTTGCGCCTAGTGTTGTGTGTTTTGTTTGTAGCGTTTGTGGCGTGCCTGTGTGTGTATGTGTTTGGTCTGGAGCTGTCCTGCCTGGCAGTTAGTGATTAATGTGGCAGTGCATGGGTGTACTAATACGTTGATGGGACTTTGTTGGCAAAGACATCCAGTCTGCCTCTGGGCACGTACTGAAGGGCAGCTGGCACAGTCATCTCTGGTGGTTGGCAGCTGTTGATTTGGGAGAGTTGAGCTGCTTGTGAGCAGCTGTTTGCGTAGTGCTTGAACGGTGTGCTTGAGGTGGTCTGTCGAATCTTGAAAGCTTACAGATACGGGGTTTTGAAATGTTTATTTTTATTTCTTTCCTGTCCCCATTAGAGTGTAAACCCTAGGAGGAACCTGTCACAGGAAATAGCTCCTTCTGGAACTGTCCAGCACTCGGTAGGCAGCTCGGTGACTGTCTTGATCTACTTCTGAGGTGCTGAGGCAAGGGGGCTGCTGTTTTGAAATGATAAAGTTGTAAGTGGGGTTCCTTGTGTTGTTGAGGGATGGGTGCTAATGCTAGCAGCTGAATGATTCTCTTGTGACTGTTTTCATTTGTTTAAGGTGAAACACAGTGTACAGCACGGGACTTGACCGGAGCTGCTTTTTGCAAGGTGAGCGATGAGCAGATGTAGCAGGTACTTTAGAGGAGCAGTTGTCACTGCAGTTAGTTAACTACACAAAATACAGTAAAAATCCTGTTTATATTTCAGAGGTGTTTTGTAGTTGGCTTAAGAGAGCAGATGGAAGCATCTTCCTCGAGGGCAGGTGAGGGGGCAGAGGTAAGGGAGCAGCTGAGAGTAACTGTCCCAGCTGTGCCGTGTCTTTGGATGCTGCTTCAGCCTATGCTTTTCTTTTTGTTTCACATTTGTCTCACACAGGCTGAGTGGGGCCAAGCTGCACTCTGAAGAGCAGCACGAGAAGGGCGGGCTGGTTGTGAGCTGGATCAGAGCAGAACTGCCAAGTAGCACGAGGTGAGTGCGAAGGGTATCCGTCTTGCTTTGCAGGTGCCATGGCAGGCTCTCCACAGAAGCGGTTGAGGATTGGAGAAGAGGTTGCAGATGATCAAGGAGCGACACGTGCAGGGATGGCTTGAAAAGGGTATGGCTGCTTTCTCTTCTGTTTATCAGGTGTCCCAGGCAACGTGGGCTGTGATGTTAGTTCTTGAGAATCGGAACAAAGCTGGTGCTGATGGTGGTCTTCTTTGGTAGGCAAAGAGGTGCCCGAAGCCCTGTCTTGTGTAGCCTGAGCACGCCTCGCTGAGTATGCAGCTTGATTTCCAGCAGTTCTGAAAACTGTGTTGAAGCTGAAATGCTGTGTCTGTGTTTGGGTCGGGTTTGCACCTTGGTGAGTGTCGGGATGGGTTTTAATGCAGTGCAGCGGAGGGCCTCGCCTCAGTGTCTTGTATTGTGTTTTGACCCGTGAGCATAGACCTTTGGTTTTCCTATAGCCTACTGAAGTAACTGATTTTTCCTGCAAGTGGAATGGAATTGAATTCTTCTTTGGCGCATAATCTGTTCTGCTCCTAGAGTTTTCTTCCTGCGTAAATAAAAGTCTGAGCTAAATCCGGCTGAAAAAGCTTCATTTACTTGCGTGGTAGTACTGTCCTTTCAGTATTAAAAGCTACAGCAAAAGCATGGGGATTTTTGTTGCTATAAAAACCCTAGCTCTCCTGTCTGCACTCTGTATGCTGTGGAGCTAAGCCTTATAAATAAGTAAATAAACCACAGCTGTTGCTCCTTCTCTTTTTGGTTTTTTTTGTGCTTTCCCCCTTGCACTTTCCCAGGTGATTAGCTTCAGGGTCCAGGTGAGACCTATTGGTAACTGAGTTGCAGGTGTGCCATCAGAGAGCTCCTTCTGCCTGGGCTGCAATTTTGGGTAAGTGCTTTCTATTTCCTTCAGTTGTTTGGAGGGTTCTTTAGGTGGGTCAGAGTCTATGGACTGATGCGTTTTCAAGTAGAAACCGGTACGCATATCTTTTTGAGGTGGCAACTGGTAGGATCTGTCTTTGTAAAGGAATCTAGTAGTAGGTGCCTGTATTGCACACAGCTCTTCCTCAGGTGAGTAGTTATTATAGCAGTTTTACGGATGGTATGGTGACGTTACTTTGTGTGTTTGCTTTGTGGTTCTGGGTCCCTTCTGATTTTTGCAGAATTACGGGGCTTTCTGTGATTCTTTGCCTGTATGTCAAATATTATCAAAGTTACAACCTTGCTGTTAAAGTGATGGAGCAGGGTTTAGTTGAAACGTATCATGGAAGCTCCCTGTGTGAGCATGTGTCTGAAAATGGCAGCAGTGGGCATGTAATTGGTAGTCTGTTTCAAGTTTAGGGACAGGTTGTTATATTTCTGGAGCTTTTGCCTGTGTGTTTTCTGTCTGTCAAGCGTTCAGACCTTGCAGCCTTCTAGTCTTGATGTCCTTGAATTTACGTATTAGAAGTACGTTTATGAGGGGTTGCCTGGTACATTGTTTTTGGGAAACCGTGGGGTATGGTTCCTTGAGTGCATAAGTGCAGTAGTGCCAAGAGAGTGAGCAGGGCCACCTTCTTCATCTCTGCAGAATGAGTCTGTTCGGGCACACTTCTCAGGTAAATGTAGTGAGCAGATGAGGTAAAGGAGCCGGGAACAGAGAGGTATTGCACAGTAGCATGTTGCATCAGTAGTAGTCAGCGGTGCGGAGGAGGTGGGTGTCAGGGCTGGCGTGCTAGTGAATGCTGGTTCTCTGTTTCTGCAAGTGATGATGAACCTGTTTAACGTAATTCCATTTGAAAGAGTTCCAGTTACTGGCCTGGTCGTGTTGTCCTTTCAATGTTAAAAGCTGCAGCAAAAGCATGGGGATTGTTGCTTCTAGAAACACCACAGGTCTCCTGTCTGCTCTCTGCATGTTTTTCCAGTAAAGCAGATCTTAAAAAAAAAAAAACAACAAAGAAAATAATAAAAAACAGCTGCTGCTGCTGCTCCTGCTTTCTTTCTACTTCCTTGTGCTTTGCCCCTCCCCTTTTCCAGGTGATTGGGTTTGGGTGCTGGGCGGGGCCGAATGCTATATGAGCCCCAGGCATGGCATCAGAGAGCTCCTTCTGCCTGGGCTGCTCCTTGGGGTAAGTGCTTTGTTTTTCCTTCAGTCAGTTGCAGGGTTCTCTAGGCAGGCTGGAGTCTATAGATTGCTAGAATTTTTAAGTGCTTGGAATTCACTTAATAGAGGGATGTGTAGTAGAGGTTTGTGGCTTATTGTTTTTTAGGATGGTGGGACACTCCTCTGTTTTTGAGCTGCACTTTAATCTCTAGATGTATAAACCCACTTCTGTAATTCTGCAGAGGACTAAAACCAGCTTGATTGCATGGTACCTGTGGCTTGACAGCGTAGATGCAGCATTACCAAGAGACTGAGCAGAGTTGTATCAGAGTCACCTTTTTTATCTGCAAAGGGTAAGTCTGTGATTATCCCTGCCAGGGCTGCTGTGTGTGCATGTCTTTTTGGCACTAGTGGTGCTCAGTTGTTTTTTTTGTGTGTACGTTTTAAGTTTCTGTTTTTCTGAGCAGTAAATAGTGTGTTTGCTGAGTGTGGTTAGAAGGAGGAGGTCGGGAGCTGCTCAGGACTGGTAGGTTTGGTTTCTAGGAGTGTGCGGCATCCTTCCTGTGCGATGCGACTGATTGTTGGGTGGGAACATTCCAGCTCATATGTCTTAAGCAATGTAGCTTGTGTAGTGTGTGTTGTGTGGCCTGGGCAGAGTTTGCTGCGGTGCTGTGAGTGAAGAATCTGAGTTAGAGCTGGTGAGAAGCTGAAGTACCGGAGCTGGGAAGAGAGAGGCATTGCAGCAGGTACGCTGTGGCTGTGAGGTGCCTCAGAGTGTGCTTTTCTCTTGCCTCTGCAGGTGCTTTGTGCAGTTGTGGAGAGGGAAGGGAAATCTTCATGTCAGGAAGCTCTGAGGGAAGGTGAGTGGTGTCAGCCATGTCATGCCTTATCCGAAGCAAAGGGAAGACGCTCAGGAGTTTCCCTGTGAGGGTCCGAGGTGAGGCTGATTGGGATAGAGGAGCAGCATGGCAGGTGGGTTCTTGCAAGCACCGCGGTCATTGTATCCTTTTGTGTTCCCAGGTGGCGTGGGTGATGCTGGCTGCTCCTTTCAAGCTTGGACCTAATTTTCAGGTACAGAGGCAAGTGGCCTGCTGGTTTGAAAGGATAAAAGTAAAGACGGGGTCGCTTATGTTGTTGAGGGATGGGTGCTACTGCTGGCAGCTGAATGTTTATCTTCTGCCTGTGTTTTTCCCTTGTTCAGGCTGAAACGCAGTGTGCAGTGCAGGACGTCTCGACCCAAGCTGCCTCTGCAGTGACTCTGGTGCGTGATGAGCAGAGGTAACTTGTTTTTGGGGCGCGATTGTCACTGCAGTTATTTTCCTACATCCAATAGCGTAAAATTCCAGTTTGCCTTTTAGAGGTGCTCTATGTGGGTGAAGAGAACAGGTGGAAGCATGTGCCACGTGGGGTAGGCAGGCGGCTGAGGTACAGGAGGGGATGAGAGTATGTGATTTTTTCTGGGGACGAAATGGAATTATTTTTGTTGGTGTATAATCTGTTCTGCTCTTGGATTTTTCTTTCAATGTGAATAAAAATTTGAGCTAATTCCAGTTAAGAAAGTTCCAGTTACTTGCTGGGTCGTGTTGTCCTTTTAATATTAAAATCTGCAGCAAAAGCATGGGGATTATTGCTTCTAGAAACACCCCAGTTTTCTTATCTGCAGTCTGCATGCTGTTGAGCTAAAGCAGACTAAGAAATAAATACAGGAAACACACACACACAAAAAAAAACAGTAACAAAAAAACCCACCACCATTGGCTGACTTGTTGTGAACGCAACGATCATTTAATTCTTTTGTTTTCACAGGTGGTGTGGATGATACTGGTTGCACTGTTGGAGCTTGGATTCGGAGAGGAAGAGGTGAGCAGAACCGTGTGTTGCATCAGCAGTAGTCAGTATTGTGGAGGAGGGGTGCATCATGGCCGGCGTGCTAGTGAATGCTGGTACTCTGTTTTTTGCAGCTGATGATGAGCCTGGCAATTGACTAAGATGACAATCGGTGCCTGTGCATTTCTTGAGGCAGAGGGACTTTACCATGCAGCAACCTGAGAGCTAAGTTGGGGGGCACCTGGTATTTGCATATCTGGGGTGGCTAATGGGAGCTGGGAGGCAGAGCAGCATGGAGCCAGCTGGCTGAATAGACTTGGTGCCACTGTGAGGGTGGCTCAGGCTGGGTCACGTTCAGGCTGCTTGTGGCTGGGTCACCAGGCTAATAGGAGCAGCGGGATTATTTTGTAGCGTGAGTGCGTGCGCCAGGCAGGACAGTTTCCTTCAGTTCGTCTGTCTTGTAGTGTTGCTTCTGCATTGTCTGTTCTGTGCTTCTCGGGTCTTGATATCCTCCTGGCTTTTGACACTGGACTGACCAGACAGGCGACTCGGTAGCTGTGCTGAAGGGCCTCAATGCTTGTTTTGTCATCATGACTCTGATCCGAGCACTTCTTGTCTTGCAGTCGCTGCTTGAAATACAGATCTGTTTCAGGTCTTGTGCATCATATTCGGTTCGAGATCGCGTCTGTTTCCATCCTCACTCTTGCAGAAGTCATCTGGGCCGCATCAGGAGCTCTTGCTTGGGAATTGATTTCCTGAGAGTTGTCTTAGGGGGTTTTCAGTCCCCATCCTTCTGGTCTCTTGTCTTGAAGGCAGGCTTTTTAGGCCTCCATCATCCCAGTTCTGGCAGTTGCTTCCAGTCGCGTGTGGTGACATTTGAGTCTCTGGTAGGGTCTGGTGCAGAGCACCTGTATCTGACTTGCTGTTGCCGTAGGGCTTCTCTTTTGGGGGTTACTTTCTCTTGCGCCTAGTGTTGTGTGTTTTGTTTGTGGCGTGCCTGTGCGTGTACGTGTTTGGTCTGGAGCTGTCCTGCCTGGCAGTTAGTGATTAATGTGGCAGTGCATGGGTGTACTAATACATTGATGGGACTGTGTTGGCAAAGACATCCGGTCTGCCTCTGGGCACGTACTGAAGGGCATCTGGCACAGTATATCTGTTTGCGAGCAACTGCTCGTTTACCTCTATTCATATAATAACTTGTAATATTTAATTGCAATCCAATTTGGGACCCAGTCGTATATGACACCAGGGGGCTTGTCCGGGAGGGCTTTGGTTCCTGAGTTCTTATTTGATCTAGGAGAGGCGCCCCAGCATTTGGTGGCTGCTGTTCGAGTCTGGTCGGGACTAATGGCATCTTGAACCTGAATACGGGTAAGCTAAGGTTTTGATTTTTTTTTCAGCTCCCTTGCTGGCTGCAGCACTGTATTTTGCCCATAATTCTGCGTGTGAAGATCTGAATGAAGACAACGGAGTCGTAAGTGTTTAAAGCCTATACTGTTTTGTTGGATGGGTTCCGGTTGCCTGTGTGTGTAAGAGTGTGACTGAGACGGAATTTAGTTCCGAAGCGATTGTGGAGGTCTTCTTTACCACGGTTCCAATCTCCCGCGAGGGACTTGGCCGGTGAAGGACCGAAGGGATTCCTATAGGCTTTGTGGGTGGGTGATAG